CAATTTTAAATTTCAATCTAGTTTTTTTTCAATCCACTAAGTTTTAATCAAGGAGCCTTGGAAAATAGTTTTGATCGTCTAATAGGTTTCGTGTCTTGTCTAGGCCGGTTAAAAGATGTACAAATCGTATTTTTAATCATACATATGTCAATTTTTCAAATGGAACAAGGGTGACTCATTAGCATATTTGGAAAAAGCATTTTTTATGAATATATTGATACCACACACTTGGTATTTCGAGTCAAATTGTCGTTATGAACCGCGTGTTACAATTACAATTAAACCATATGCGAAAATGTCAAAAGTTGACATATGGTATGTCATTCTATTCAGAGTGTCATTTTCTATCGAATAAAGTAGAAATATACCGAGGGTGCCGTTTAAAAATTAAAAGTTATAGTCATTTCCGGTGAAACAGGAAGTGACCAAAAACAATTGAATGCGTCAATCAATCCTAATTTATTTCATATACTAACATACTAAATCTTGTTTTTTTTATTTGAAAATATAAAAAAATTATGGGGATGAGCCACTTTTGAGACGCACCCGGTATAATAAAGACAGTACCGAGTTATAAATGTAGTTTTTATTTTATCCACTTCCTATCACCTTCCTTGCTTTAATGGAACAGATTTATGTTTGCTCTAATTTACATAATAAGACATCACTTAACCAGAAAAAAAATTACAACAATCATATTTTTTTTCTCTCCCTGTTGCCGATTCTATTATATCTGTGGAATAGATCCTGTTTTGATTAATATTAGGGGTTGTAAATGTTTGACTAAAATTAATAATTTATTATTAATTTCAAAAATTACCTAATTTCGATGATAAAATTTCTTCTATAACGTGTATTTTATTATTTTTATCCTTTTTGGACTCTAAATTGTTTTTTCTAAACTTTTATTTAAAAAATCTTAATAAAATATAAAAAAGTTTAAATACGATATATTTTTAATTTAATTATAGCTTCATTAAAATAAAAAAATTACCCGGCTATGATACGGAGAGTTCAGGTGTACTTGAGAAACGAAAGACAGTGTTGTGTTTCTCGGCAGAGTCGTCAGGGAACGACCGTTACGACAGAGACAATCTATCTATCGCTCGTGTCGCACTCGTTATAACCTAAAACAATAACACAACAATAACAAGACAGTGTCTGACCGCATGTTCCAGCTATTTATGAATGAGATGCTCAGTCTATATTTTATTCTAAGTCTATGGTTACCACTTTTCGTTACTACTAATTTGCTTATACAGGGTGTCCCAGAAATAAGTGCAAATATTTTAAGGGGTGGTAGATCTCGATAAAAGAAACATATTTTCTCTTTATCGATTTTCAAATAAATCCAAAATAACGGAGTTATTTTACTTTGAAATTTTCCAAAAAAAATATTTTTTGCTAAAATTTTGAGAACCACTGGATCTTTTCTGAATTTTCTTTCTAGTAAATTTAATCTAATACCTATGTTGCCATATTATCAAGAAATTATGTTTTTTAACTAAAAACTAAAAAAAATTCCAAAAATTTTTCAAAAAATTTCGAATTTTCAAAATTTTTTTTTCGCGAAAAAAACCTCATAGGCGTGTTTCTGGGGTTGAACTATACTATCAGTTAAAATATTTGCACTTATTTCTGGGACACCCTGTATATACAGAGTTGTTCACCACATACGACACGGAGTATTGTAGCTAAACGATGAGATTTTTACAAATTGTAAGTTTGGGGTTCGTTGAAGGACTATTAGAGCTACAATTTAAAAATATTTTTACAAGATACAGAGTGTCCCAAATAAAAAATATCAAAGTTGTATTTTTTTAAATGAAACACCCTGTATATTATTACATTTTTAGTTTCTACGATTAAAATAAAGGTAAATTTGATTAAGGTTTATTATACTTAAACCTTACCGTTTTTGAAATATTTTCAATTTTGTGAAATTGTAGTCAAAATTTTAAAGCTTCATTTCTCCAAGGGTATCAATGTTTTTAATACTAAATATTTAATGAAGTTTATTTATTGATCAGTTATTGTGTTGCAATAATAAAAATAATAGTACCTTATACACAGTGTCTAAAAATTTATTTTAAATAATTATTAGCTTCAAACGGCAATAACTTCTTTAATTTAAATGGAATGCCCTATATATTTTAGGAGAATCAGATGCACAATTAAATTGTCTATCAAATTGTATTATACCATTTTTTACCTATCCCTTCAAGTTTTCGTAGAAAATGCATTTTCTTCTAAATTAGACCTCATTTATCAATATATCTATGGAATATTGACATTTTAGATTGTTTTTAAAGCAACAAATGTACAAAATGTACAGACTAGTAATATTATCGTTTTTAGCAAAACGATAATATTACTAGCCCATTTGTATGCAAAAAGAAAACTATTTAAATCTTTATAAAAGGGTATACCATTAATTAAATATAACACCATTATTTCCGCCCATATACTAATTAATGACATACTTAATTGTGTTCGTTAATAAATTATTATAAATAAATGTGGATTTTTGAGTCAGAAATCAATATAATAATAAGTTATCAAATTAAAGCCTTTGTTGTTATAAATAAGCATTTATTAAAAAATGAAATATCATTTTTAAGGTGTTACTTTTTATCACACTGTCTAATGCCCATACAAAATTCAGTTTTTTAGTATTTGGAGCAATTATTATTAATCAACGCAAACAGTCAGTTAATGTAGTTTGAATACTGGAATCATATTAATTGGTCCTCTTTAACAAATATTTAAACAGTTTTTTTTTATTTTTTAATAAAATAAACAAATTATATCGACAATATTAGTATCTGTACTCTTTAAAAATGTGGTACATCTTTAAAAATAATCTAAAATGTCAATAGTCCATGGGTATATTGATAAATAAGTTCTAAATTACAAGAAAATGTATTTTCCACAGAAACTTAAAGAGATAGGTAAAAAATGGTATAATATAATTTGATAGACAATTAAATTGTGCATCTGATTCTCGTAAAATATACAGGGTGTTCCATTTAAATAAAACAAGTTATTGCCGTTTGAAGCTAATAATTATTTAAAATAAATTTTTAGACACTCTGTATAAGGTAGTATTATTTTTATAATTGCAACACAATAACTGATCAGTAAATAAACTTCAGTAAATATTTAGTTTTAAAAACTTTGATACCCTTGGAGAAATGAAGCCTTAAAATTTTTACAGCAATTTCACAAAATTGAAAATATTTCAAAAACGGTAAGTTTTAAGTATAATAAATCTTATCAAATTTACTTTATTTTAATCGTAGAAACTAAAAATGTAATAATATACAGGGTGTTCCATTTAAAAAAATACAACTTTGATATTTTTTACTTATTTGGGACACTCTGTATCTTGTAAAATTATTTTTAAATTGTACCTCTAATAGTCCTTCATCGAACCCAAAACTTACAATTTGTAAAAATCTCGTCGTTTAGCTACAATACTCCGTGTCGTATGTGGTGAACAATCCTGTATATAGCTTGCGTAGATAGATATTCTGTGCTACTAGCTCGTGTCACAGTGATATATAATTTATATGGTTTTGTAACAAATTGCTCGCTATTTTATGGCAAATACTGAAGCTCTGCAAACCTTAATCAAGCCTTTATCAAAGCCCGTGTGTTTGGAATGTTGGGTGTGACTTAACACGACAGGATCGGGCTCAGCCTTAGGCAGATTTATGAAATATAATATATTACCCGACCCCTGACAGAGACCCGAAAGTACAGCGTAATAGCCTCTTAAAATGAGGAACATTCAGTTCACTTAAAGAATAAAAACAAACAAAAATTATTTAACTGACATTTAATTCATCATATATCGCAAAAATTTACACTATTCCTATACTTATCTCACCGTTTATTAATGCTAATATCATATTTTTTACACTTACTTAATTTTTGTAAAAAAATCACATACATATACTCGTATATTATGTATCCGCTTCTGTTGTTAATAGTATTTTCGCCGCAATGCGTCATATTTTATTTATTTATAAAACCTTTTAGCACTGAAATAATCGACTGCTTGTTATTAACAATAAACAATTGTTGTTTTCGCCACGCAAACAGTCCTAATTATTGCAATTTTAAGAGAGAAAAAACCCAGTGGAAATTTATTGTTTAATGTATACGAATTGAAAATTGCAGAAAAAGCTTAATTTTTTTTTATTTTTGAGATAAAGTCAAAAATTTTGATGGATTAACATGATAGAGTTAATGGTAGAGTCTGTCAAGCTTCAGATAACTCTTATCTGGAGGTTTTTCATCTTTATTCGTAAATAAATGAAAGATTTGAACTTTACTGATTGGCAAGTGCAAGACCAAAGCCGCTATTCCCTTGGTCTTGGACTTATCATGTATGGCAGGAGGGTGAATTATATTTATTTTTTACACAGATGAAGAAGAAAATTAGGGTTCTTTGAGCAATTAAGTTTTTTTCCGAGTAACAGGTCGCTAGCCCGTTGCCTCAATCCCCAACCTGGAGGACCAGGGGCCTTTCTGTAGGGATGCCCATCCTTAGCCGAGAGAACCGGTTTTGAGGCGCCGGAATCTCGCCTTCGCCCTATTCCTGTTAGCTGCATAACACCCATCCATTGGATGCCATACATTACCAGTGGTCACGCGGCTCTCATGAGCCTTCGAGGACGTAGGAAATAGGACTTGCTGGCAGAGCTTATGAAACAGTGGACATTTCTCAGTTTTTGATGAAATACTCCTATTCGACATTGGAGTATCTCCTTGAGATCCGTTACCAGCCTTCGACCACCCAAAAAAAAATGGCGTAACTACTATGCAGAATTACTGACAGAAAAATTGGAATGTTGGGTGTGGCTTAACACAACAGAATCGGGCTAAGCCTTAGGCAGATTTCTCAAATATATATACTTTACAACTTTACAACTACTGTACACACACCCGCTTTACCCTACTTAAAAACTTAAAAATATTTTCTTTTGTTGCAGATTACGTATTTTGAACTGAAGAAGAAACAAGAAGAAGCAAGAAGATAGAAACCAAAACAGACGCAAGCATCAATCAAGCAGCGAAGCCACTCGAAGTCAAGGCGTCGTCGTAGGAATCAATCAATGTTCTGTTAAACCGTGTCTTTCAAGTTTAGTCCAGCGAATACACATATAATATTTATACATACATAGAATAACATAGAGAACACGTCTCATCATGCATATTGAAGTACAAGTAGCGCTGAATTTCGTGATATCGTACCTATACAACAAACTTCCCAGACGGAGAGTCAACATATTCGGCGAGGAGTTGGAAAAAGCTTTAAAAGACAAATTCCAGGTTAGTACCAAGAATAATATATAGTCTATATCTGTAGCCCAGAAGCAAACTATACTCCCCGGTACCAAATTCCGCCACCCTAAAAGTTTGATGTTTCATAATTTTTTATTTTGTAATCCGATTTTTATAATTGTGGTATCAGTGTGAAGATAAATTTATTGGCACTATTTTTTAGTATTTTAATGGCATATATTCTTCGGTTAGGTGGGTTTATACCGGGGTAAATCAAAACATTGTTCCTCTCAATAAATTCAAAACACCCTGTGGAAAAAATGAGACGGGTATTTTGGATAAAAACATATTCATTGATGAAGATCAAGCTATAGTCTAAAAGGCTCATGGCTTGATTGGTTATCTTTCTCCATTTGTTTCTGTCTTTCGCCTTTATTCTCCACCCATCCACTCTTATCCTTCTCAAGTCCTCTTCAACATCCTTTTTCCATCTGGTTCTCGGTCTACCCCTCCTTCTCTTTCCACCTATTTCACGTTTCATTATCATTGCTTCAGCCATTCTTTCAATGTGTCCTAGCTATCACAGTCTTTGTGCTCTTGCTAGTCCCGTTATACTCGGTGCCCGATATAGCTGCTTTAATTCTTCATTTGTTCTTCTGGTCCATACGTTGTCTATCTTCTTTCCTCCAGAAATCTTCCTCAGTATTTTTCTTTCCCAAATCTCTAGCCTCGAACTTTCCGTTGCTTTGAACGTCCACGTTTCACATGCATACAGCATTATTATTGGTCGTATCATCGTTTGGTACATTCTGATGATTTTTAAACTTCTAGAGATATTCTTACTCTTAATAATAATAATAACATAAATAACCCTTTTAACTATGGCAACTTAAACTTTATCACTTATGTAGTAACATTTGTATAGTACCTAATCTACCACTGCATTAATATTTTGATCAAAACCGAGTTTAATTATATTTACCTTTTCCAGGGTCACTGGTATCCCGACAAACCCTTCAAAGGCTCAGCGTTCCGATGCCTGAAAACGGGCGATCCCATCGACAAGGTCCTGGAAAGGGCCGCCAGGGAGAGCGGAGTGCCCATCCAGGACATCCTGGAGAATCTCCCGCAGGAACTGGCCGTGTGGGTGGACCCTGGCGAAGTTAGCTACAGAATCGGAGAGAAGGGAGCTGTGAAAATACTGTTCAGTGATAAGGCGGACCCTCAGGAGGACCATTCGGCTGATAGGTGAGCACAGTGTAAACTCTTTAATCGGAACATTACGTTAATCAGGATATTCAATAATCGGAACACTTTAATTGACATGTTATAGTAGGGGTGAAAAATTTAAACATAGATAAAAGAAACAAGTTTAGATTGGAAAGTGCCCATAAGGACAATTTATATACTATTTGGCGCTATTCTGACAACGGTTGCTTTCCAAAGCTTTTGATAATTTCGGAGCGGTTTGGCTTTTTCCGGAATTATATTGCCAAATATTATTTATTCAAATTTATTATTATTTTCTTTTAATTTTTTAAATAAAATACAGTGTGTTGCATATAAGAACCTTTATTTTAAATTCATCCTTTTAGTGCCCCTAACTCCCTTCATATGCATTTTCCGCCCTAAACTTATATGAACTTTTTTTACTATTTTTACACCATTTCAATGACACCCTGTATAATCTCAAGTGTAACTAACAAAAGCGTGTTAAACATGGAAGGTAGACTTAGTCGGTTTAATAATAAATTGACTTCAGTGTTCTTCTTTCTTCTAGAGAGGTGACCAAAACCTTCAACCCGGAAGCTCAGTGCTTCAGGCCGATTGACTCTGTCAGCTGCAGTCTGAACAACCTCAGCTTGTCGCCCAGCAAGTCACTGACGCCCTTTGCCAACGTAGCTCCTGGAAATCCAGTAGAACCCCAGATCCAGGGCCAGGCAGTGACTCAGAATGGTGCTCAGGTAAGGCTACGTTTATTACTTATTACGAATTATTATTCTCTAGGTCTCTTAATTCCTCGTTGGTACCATGCTGTCCATTTTTGTGGTCCATCTGTTGTCTGTCCTTCTTGCCAGGTGTCCTGTCCATTGCCATTTGTCCTGCCCATTCCCACATGACATCTATTACCTGGGTTTTCTGTCGTATCCACTCTATTCTTTTACGGTATTTCTTGATTATTCCAGTTATGCCAGTTTGGTTTTTTTTTATACGAAATAATATACATGTACTGATTTCTTTCGAAAATCGAAAAACTCATCAAAAAACTATGACACTATGAACCCTTCCCGGACACAAACGGTACATTGTGAGACAGGAAATTGTAGACAGAAACAAGCCCTATAACTTAGGGTACAACGTTTTAATGAACAATGCTTTCCATAAAATCAATAAAATGAAAAATATCCGAAATAATATACATGTACTGATTTCTTTCGAAAATCGACAACTATGAAACTATGAACCCTTCCCGGACACAAACGGTACATTGTGAGACAGGAAATTGTAGAGAAAAACAAGCCCTATATCATAGGATACAACATTTTAATGAACAGTGCTTCCCATAAAATCAATAAAATGAAAAATATCCGAAATAATATACATGTACTGATTTCTTTCGAAAATCGACAACTATGAAACTATGATCCCTTCCCCGACACAAACGGTACATTGTGAGACAGGAAATTGTAGAGAGAAACAAGCCTTACAACATAGAATACAACATTTTAATGAACAGTGCTTTCCATAATATCAATAAAATGAAAAATATCCGAAATAATATACATGTACTGATTTCTTTCGAAAATGGACAACTATGAAACTATGAACCCTTCCCGGACACAAACGGTACATTGTGAGACAGGAAATTGTAGAGAGATACAAGCCCTATAACATAGGATACAACATTTTAATGAACAGTGCTTTCCATAAAATGAATAAAATGACAAATATACGTTAAATTCAAAATTTAAATTATTGGTAAAAAAAATTTAATTTTTTTATGTATGTAACAGATAATATATGTTTAATAAGTAGAAGCGTGTGCTAGCAAAAAAAGCAAGTATAAACAACATATTTTTTGTAGATAATAGCACAATTTCTGGTAATTATATGGACATATGTAAAAAAATGCAACGTGCATCATAGTACTTTTTGCATGCAATACCAATTTTGCTTGTTCATTTGGCTGATATTTTTATAACAGCTAGTTATTATATTTGAAGCTTTAAAAAATCAGCTGTTATTTTGTCAATTTTTAATCTTATTATAAAAAAATTGAATAAAAAATTAAATGAGATCTCAAATCTATACTACTAATATATAAAATCCTTAAATGACTGACATACTGATTAATCACGATCCTGCTCAAACCACTCAACGTACGAAGCTCAATTTTGGCATACAGGTTGATTCTAGGGTGTAGAGGTTCGATAAGAAGGGATTTTTCGAAATTCCAGTTCCAAGGGGGTGAAACCACCTCTCAAATATTACAATATTTTTTATTTAAAAAACGGTCAAGTTTCCGAAAAAACGCTTAAACACGTATATTTTATTTTGTTTTTTTACATATTTTAAGATTTTTTAAAAATGTATACAGGGTGTTTCATAAAATATGACCATTGAGTAATCACGATTCTGATTAAACTGCTTGACGTTTAAAGCTGATTTTTGGCAAACGGATTGACTGTGGGGTGTAGAGGTTCGATAAGGAGGGGTTTCTCGAATCTCAAATTCCAAGAGGGTGAAAACGCCCCTCAAATATTACAATATTTGTTATTTAAAAAACGGTTAGTCTTTCGGGAAAACGCTTGGACAAGCATAATTTATTTGTTTTTTTTGCATATTTTGCAATTTTTTCAAAAATCATACAGGGTGTTCCAAAAAGTTGGGTAATTTCTTAACCACGATTCTGCTTAAACTGCTTGACGTAAAAAGCTTATTTTTGGCAAACGGAATTTTCGAAAGTCAAATTCCAACGAGATGAAACTACCTCTCAAATATTACCAAGTTATATAATAATATCGCCATATTCTTTTTTCTCATGCTGACATAAATGTGAGAAAATTTTATCCAGTTTGTATGTTAATGGAAATTCTTGCTTTGCTTTATCATCACCATTACAAATTATTAATTCGACGCGAACGAAGTCGCTGGTACACGCTAGTCTTTTTATAATTCAACTATAGTTCATACCAAACAAACTTTTAGTCACGTGATTAAGCTTGACCGGCACAGCGTTGCCTACTTTTACATATTTTCTTTAAATCAAAATATTTTAGGAAACAAAAATAAATTAATTATAAATATATAAACAGTTTTACATCAACAAAACTCACCTTCTTAACAGCACTTAAGGAAGATAAAGCGCCATTACTACCGCTTCCCGGTTCAAAATATTCTAATAGAGTTGCGATGAATTTTTTACGGCTATTAAGCTATCTTTTACACTCGCGCAAAAAATAAAAACAGATTAAAAATATTAAAATATCGTAACGCTATTTATTTCAACCAAAAACTATAAGTGTCAAAACGAATGACAATGTCAGGAAATAAATAAATAAAAGTTTAATTGGTATCAAAAACAAACTCCCTTTTATATTTTTTTCGATGTTTCGAGGCTTTTTTAAAAATTAAAATGGCAATAATTCATACTCTACACCACAAATAATACATCCACAGACTTTTCTCTCGTCATTTTATAAAATTCGTCAACAAGCAGAAGAAAAAAGGAAAACGAAAATTTTCTGCGGGAGATTTTAAAAATAAAAGGAACGCTCAAGTATCTAAAAATACTTCTTCCATTCTTTCGGGCCTTTACCGCATACAAAAACCAGTCGATAACATGAAAGAAATGTTTTAATGGAGCAATAGCTCGGAGGGATTAATGCAAAAGCTTTTATTATTTCCGCTTCGCGTCGCTTTTTGCACCCTCCGCTCCGTTTTAAAGCGTTTTAAGCGCCCCCTCTCTTAACCCACGGTCACAGAGAAAGCGTTTTTTTTGCGTTTTTAGCGTGAAGCGTCTTTTGACTAAAATAAAATAACACCCACCAAAAGCGTGTAGCGTTCGGCGTGTCTCGCAAAAAACGCAAATGAAAACAAATCAATTTGTTTTCTGTAGAGTCTTTAGCGATTTCAAAGATGAGACCCCGTCATAAGCGGACGTAATATTTAATCTATACTAATATACAGGGTGAGTTTCCTACGATGTTCTCTATGGGTATCTCGGAAACTACTGGAGATAGAGAGTCGGTTAAATGGGGAAAGAATTGCAGTTTTGTGAGGTCATAAACATGCGCCTTTCACATTTTTGAAAAAGTTCATGGCTTACTAGATATTTTGAAAAAAACAACTTTCGGCTATCTTAAAAATTGTTCCTAATTCCATTATAATCTATTTTAGACAAAAAGTTTTCAGATAAAAGTTGTAGAAAATCACATCCTTAATGAGATTATGTCCTCCGTTTTTTTCTAAAGCCTGTAATTTTTGACATATAACACAAACATATGTTTTTTTAAATGGAAACCATAGTTGGCCATGACTTTATAAAAATCGCCATTTTTAAAGCTTTTTAGCGATATAAGCTATAATATGTTTCTTTCGAAAAATTACTGAGTTATAGTTAATTCTTATAATTTTTAAACAATTTCACTTAGTTAGCCATGGAAATAACAAGTTCAATCGTCAGTTCTCTCAGAAATGTGAAACTGTCACATCCAAACTTTATAAATTAAAATAAACAAAAATTGTAAATATGACTTTTTCAAATGAAGAAAAGCGTGTAGGATTATTATTAAACTATTATTATTAAAAAACGGTTAGTCTTTCGGCAAAACGCTTGGACACGCATAATTAATTTTGTTTTGTTACATATTTTGAAATTTTTAAAAAAATCATACAGGGTGTTTCAAAAAGTTGGGTAATTGATTAACCACGATTCTGCTTAAACTGCTTGACGTAAAAAGCTTATTTTTGGCAAACGGATTTTTCGAAAGTCAAATTCCAACGAGATGAAACTACCCCTCAAATATTACCAAGTTATATAATAATATCGCCATATTGTTTTTCTCATGCTGGAAATTCTTGTTTTGCTTTATCATCACCATTAAAAATGATCAATTCGACGCGAACGAAGTCGCGGGTATACGCTAGTCATACAATAAAAATAAATTAAATAGTATGCATTTTTTTTTCGTTTGAGGGTATTATCAAAAAATATTTTTATAGAGAACATCTATACTGTTTAGGGAGATGCTATTAAATTCAAAAATTTGAAGGAAATGTTTGAAAATGTGTAAAAAAAATGTGCGAAAAAATTAATTTTTTTTTGCGAAAAAAATATTTTTTGGGTAAAAATATGTCATCATCAGAGTCGAATTCCTCAAGTGGCAATAGGCAGGACACCTAGCAAGAAGAACGGACAACAGATGGACCACAAAAATTACAGCGTGGTGCCCACGAGGAATTAAAGGACCTAGATGATATTAGAAAATTAGCTTTAGATTTTCTTTTATATTAGTATATTAATTCTTATTATCTTTTCTTTTAGTCGCTCGTATAGTGTTTAAATTATTTTAATGGTGTGTTTTGTTCTTTTTCAGCCTTTGCCCAACAATCATCTGAACTCAAACTCAACAGCTCCGTCCCCGACATCCATGGGCAACTCGTTCAAAGGCTCGCCATCGCCGGTACCCACTTTCATACCCAGAACCACCACGCCACTGACCTTCACCACCGCTACATTTGCTCAGACGAAATTCGGCAGTACCAAACTCAAAACCAGCAGCAAAAGAGCCAACAGGTTGGTAGAAGATGTTTTTGTCTCTTTGTTTAAAACAGTAGAATTTTTTAGAATTTAGAATGAGTGGGAGGGGGGTTAATCACTTCGACCTTACAGATCCATTGTGTCCCCCTTTCTTGAATCATAACTCATCATACAGTCCCAGGGCTTTGACAAAAGCCAGTATCTGGGACGGTTTTATAGAGGGTAGTTCTCCATCTCCAATATCAGTCGTACCAAAATTCATGGCACGAATGGTTGTCATCTCGGCGCACTCAGTGATGAGGTGTACTGGTGTTTCCCCATCTTCCCCACAGAATCTGCATTCGCCGTTTCTTCTTAGTTTCAATCTACTGAGGTGTTCGTTGAGGAGACAGTGTCCTGTTAAAAACCCCGTGACAATCCGAAGATTGTTCTTACTCAGACCCAGGAAGATCTGTGATTTTTCTTCATCATAAGCCCTCAGAAACTTCTTCGAGTGTCTTAGACCATTGGAAAATTTCCATTCCAGGTTGCGGATGGAATCTTCCAAGTTCTTGAGTTCCGCCTTGAGTTGGTTACCACTTGGAAAGCAGAACGGTTCTGGTTCAGTTAGTGGAGTGTTCGCTGCTTTCCTAGCTAGATTATTTGCTTTTTCATTGCCTTCTATCCCTTGGTGAGCAGGCACCCAGTGTAGGAGGACTTTGTTTTCTTTGCCTAATTTATTCAGCTTCTCTATGCATTCTTTGACCAATTTCGAATTGATTGATACTGAGTTGATCGCCTTTAACGCTGCTTGACTATCAGATAAGATGGCTATTTCTTGTTTCCGATAGTTCCTATCTAAGATAAGTTGTACGCATCTCTCGATAGCGTAGATTTCTGCCTGTAGGATACTAGGGTAAGTGCCCATTGGTTCGGAGTAATTAGCTCTCGGCCCAAACACTCCGATCCCTGTTCCCGTATTGGTTTTGAAGCATCAGTATACCAAGTTATGGTATGGTCTTTTAACTGCTGGGCAAGCGTTTCGCTCTTCCAATCCTTCTTATTGCTCAATACTACATTGACATGTTTGTCAAAGTTGTACGTTCTTGGCATATCGTCCACTGGGAGTTGCAGAAGTGGTATTTCCTTTTGAGGGTGTTCCAAGCCCCTGATCTAACAATTCTCCCAGTACTAATTCCGTTAGTGACCATTCTAATCATTGTCGCATTGGCATATCTACCAATGACAATGTGCAGTGGTGTTAGATCTAGAATGACCTCCATTGCTGCTGTTGGACAGGTTCTCATGGCTCATGTGATGCAAACACATGCTAGTCTCTGGACTTTGCATAGGTTTAGCCTTGCCGTCCGTTGCTCTAGTTTTGTGTACCAGGCAACTGCTCCATAAGTAATCATGGTTTAAAACAGTAAATGAAGAGAGTTTCCCATTCTTGCTTGATATATACTGGGTGGTGCGTCGTCTTTGGAAAACAGGAAATCCCATGCAAAATTTGGACTGTCCAAATATTGACTTGGTTTTTAAAATACTGAATACACATGTCAAATTTGAGCAATTTTGGACAAGCCGATTTTAAGTAATTTAAGAAAAACGCTCTATTTTTTAATTAAAACTGAACAGGTAACAATAAAAAGCCATTGAAACTCTAATATAGCATAAGTTGTCAACCTGTGATTTTATTATTGTCAAATGTAATTTGTTTTGTCTATATACTACTACGTTATAATTAAGGACAGTTAAGGAAACCATGATAAATTTGTTTAGGGCATCTTTGGTTTCACAAAAATCTTAAGTTCTAAATTTACTAAAAAAATCTCAATTACAACGGACACACTGTACAATCTGCCAATGGAAGGATCTGCTCTTGATGAGCATAATATAAACAACATTTATACTAATTAAATTTTATGATAAGTGGCAACGTAGAGCATATTTCTATTTATTTCTAGTCTGTATACCTTGGATACTTTCATTTGCTGTCCTCCTTTCACGCAGTTGAACAGCTCTGAACTGTTCAAGAACGCGATACTCTCACTCCATTCAATTGAGTCATAAAGTTCCAGAACTGTTCCACTTGTTTTTTTAATTAAATTATTTTTTTTTAGTTGTATTGTAGTCATGTACAAGAAAGACAACTGTATTTTAAATATTATATTTAATTTAACGTTTATCGAACAGGGTCCATTAGACTATATTTCTACTAGGTACATTATTTAAAAAAAAATTAAGAGTAAAAGTAACTTAAACATTCATAAAAATAGAAGTATTTACTGTTGTAGATTCTCAGTAACAATAAAAAAGAGGAATTTATATTGTAAACATTGAAATAACTGGAAGCTAAACTTTCTACCTGCTTATATTTAGAGCCAGTGTCTGACGACCTTTTTTTACGATGGCCCTAATATGTTTACTTCTAAAGTCGATAAGAGCCATTAGTAGAAGTCCATATCAGTAGAAAAAAGAAACATAATATCTCCCTTTTTAGCGCGTACACAATGCTTTTTGTTCGGCCTATTTGTTCTGCTTGTTCGTGCGCGCGAAGTCTGGACGCACCTTTAGGAGCAATACTGTTTTTGTCCTTTATTGATATAATGCTGAAAATCTCGCGAGTTACATGACTCACTCTACACATATTAAATTACATAAACGTAGGATGTAGAATATTCTGTTATGAAACGACTGATGGAATAGCAGGCATCGCGGATTTGAAAAACATGGAAATAACGACGTTCCCGTATAATCGGGGTTGGAGATTTTACTTGCTCCATTTACCACACCAGTATTTATTAACGAAAAATCCAAGAATATTTTTAATGCATTATTTAATATTAGAACATTTAATAAGCTCATGAATAGCTTTTGAACTTGGCTTTTTAATTAACTCGGATATTTTAACATTTCTGAAACTTAATTATTTCTGAAACAATATTTTCTAATTGGTAAAACGTAAAAAATCGTTAGATCTGACAACTCTGTTGAACCTGGTCGTTCATCTGGCCGCAGCTATAAACGCAATACATCCGGCCAGCCGACAGGTCATTGCGACCTGGTCGTCAGTGAGTTAGAGCCCTAAAGCCCGGAACTCGAAGTTCGTGAATGGAGGACAGCAATTGTGTACAGTAATCTGTAATCTGTTCATACCTATTAAAATTTTGGTCACGTGATTAAGCTTGACCGGTACAGCGTTGCCAACTTTTACATATTTTCTTTTAATCAACGTATTCTAGGAAGCAAAAATAAATTAATTATAAATATATAAATAATTAATATTTACATCAACAAAACTCACCTCCTTAACAGCACTTGAGAGACATAAAGGACCATTACTACCGCATTCCCGTTCAAAATAGGATTGCGATGAGTTTTTGCATTGGCTATTAAGCTATCTTGTACACATCGCACTAAAAGTGGTTCTAAAAAGAACAGTGTTCGACTGCAAGATCTGCTAGTAAAAATTTTTGCGTTTAAAGTATCACAACACTGTTCATTTAAAACAAAAACTCGTAATACACTAGGAGAGTGTCAACTCGACGCCGAATATGTCCATGGTTGGCATATTCACCAGAGACGTGCATATGGGTTATCACTGGAATATTTTTCTAAAAAAAGGATGTACGCCACTGACTTTTTTTTTCTCTCGTTAGCGAAATAGTGTAAGCAGTTTAATGCCGATTAAAAGTTGTCTCATAATATTTTGTCGATTTCGGCCTTCTTGATGAGATACACGCAATTTTATTAATTTGCCTTGATCCAAGTCTAATAGCAACCTTTAAAAAAAATTACAATAATTGTATATTCAAAAAATAATTCAAAAATATATATTTTTCTTTTTCTTTACAGAATGTCACCGACGGAATTCTCCAACTACATCAAACAGCGCGCCATGCAACAACAAATGCACCAGCAACCCCCGCACCACTCCCCAGGCAGCCGAGCTCTGTCCCCCGACCCCTCCGCCTATTACTTCCCACCGCACGGCCACTATCCCCCTCCCTTTCCCCCAAGGTCGGTGTTCGAGTCTTCCAACCAGTTCCTGAGCCCTGGGGACCTCTATCCCCCCACCAAGAGCAACCCGTTGAGTTTCCCCTTCGATAACTCCCCCTTCGGACCGTTCTACCCCAACAACAACACTACCGGCGGTATGAACGTACCCCCCAGCGGCGGAATGGGGTCCAACGGTGCGCAGAACAAGGACTTGCTGGAGAACAACTGGGGTTATGGAAATGCAGGACAGTACCAACACTTGCTGGTGGCTAATTGAGGTGGGAGCTAGGTAGATGGAGGCGTCTTGCGATTCTATTGTGTCTTTCTGCGAGGATGGGAGGTTTTTAGTGGTACTATGAAGGTTATGTCTATGAAGATAACGTCTAAATCTAGTTATAAGCTAGAAATCACAATATGTTTTGAAGACTTGGAATATTATAAAAAAAACTATAACAACTTCCTTTTTTATCGGTCCCTATAGAAAACTGGGAAGATTATTATACAGGGACAGACCGTACCCAGTTTCCTTTTTGTAGTAACATTTTAAACCCCCCAAAAAACTATTTTAAAAGATTACCTGATTAAATAATAAAAATTCCTAAACATATGACGTTATCTTTGTAGAAATTGATTCAAATTTGACAGCTCTGTATTGGGTTTGCTTCTGTAACTTATACAGTACTGCTCAAAAAAAAACCTGAAAGGAATGAAACCAAAACCTAATTCAAAACTGTTAAATTTTTCAACTCCATATTTGTAAAAATACTATTTTGTATGTTTGTACGCTCACTTAAAATTTTCATCTATCTTAAAGTTTTATATTTTGTGTTCTACTGAACCGATTTTGGTGATTTTTTAAGCAATTTGTAGCTAAATTAACTGACTCTTTCTAAATTAAAAATGATGTTGTTGCCATCTGTCAATTATACGATGGAAAACAAAATGTTGATATTTTGGTGAAAGTTTCAAACACCCTGTTTAAAATACCTTGCTTTGTTAACATATTCTAGAGGGTGTTTCAAACTTTCACCGAAATATGAACCTTTTGTTTTTCCTGGTATAATTGACAGATGGAAACTCTTAATTTTAATTTAGAACGAGACACTAAAAAGTTAAATAATTTATCTACAAATTGTTTAAAAAATCATCACACAAAATCGGCCCACTAGAACAAAATATGTTAAACTTTAAAATACATTCAGCAGGTCTGTCTAGAAAAAAAAACGATGTCGTAGTAAGCGTAGTATGGTTATCTATACATCACAGAAATCAAGAAACATACAAAATAGTGTTGGTTTTTTTATTTGTAACAAATCGAATGTACAAAAAAAAATAGGAAAAAAAGAAAACCATATATAGTTCTTGTGGATTTTTATATTTGTCTTAGTTGAATAGTTCCTACTTTTTATATTTGCTTAAATTTGATATTTTTATTTGTTATTTTTTTACGTAAATTAATCGAGAGTAACGCATAGTAATTGAGTAAATTTGTAAATATATATAGTATAATAAGTTTCTTTATAACGGGAAAAAATATGTCGATGCAGTAACCAGTAAAAAAAGTTCCACTTCTCTTGGAACCAGTGATCTCTCTAATATTAAAATAATTTGTACATAATGTAACTTATAATTATTTATACATAACATATACATATTTTTGTAGGAAAAAAATTCTAGTATTTCTCACCAAGGTAAAAATGAAAAAATATACCGGAAAAAGTGAAAACGATGGGAGAAAAACAAATATATTTTTCTTAATGGGGAAATTTTTGTCGAGTCCTAACCTCGTCTAGATAGATAGTCTAGATGGAAGTTTCATTAAATAATACGGGACGCACACTGGCAGGATTGTTGTATGTTTGATACGTCCATCTTACTTGATTTTGTCAATTTTTTACTCAAAATTAATCATTATTATAAGGAATTTTTTGATCTAATAAAAACTATATATACAGGGTGAGTCTTAAATAAGGGCGCATGTTTTTAGAACTGGTTAATCTCGATAAAATAAACATATTTCTTCTTTGCCATTTTTCAAATAGGTAAGTCTAAAAAAAGAGTTATTTTACTGTTACTAGTTTTTGCTTAAATTTTGAGAATCACTAATTTTTTTTGGTTATCTTTTCTCTAAATATAATCTACTACCTATGTTGAGAGATCATCAAGATATTATGTTTTTTAACTGACAAAAAAACTACATTTTTTTCGAAAAACAAAAAATATTCAATATTTCTTTGGCGAAAAAAACTTCACAACATGTTCTTGGGATCGAAATATACCATCCTTAAGAATATGTGCACTTAATTAAGACTCACCCTGTATATAGCGTCGAAATTCTTCAAACATAACAAAATATTTGAAAACATTTTTAAGATAACAATATTAAAAATACATATTTCCAACAAAAAAAGATTTTGTTTAACTACACCAAAGAATAAAACGTTTCATCCACTGAATAAAAGACTCAGTAATAAGTATAATATCAAGTTTTGACACAATATTTTCCAGATTTATATACCTTGCAGAAAATTAATTATAAATCAACATTAACTACGACTGTAATTATGAATGTATTGAACTTGGAATATGTTACTGAATCAGTAACATATAAGTTTGTCGGTGTGTGGCCCCCCTTATAAGTTCGAACTCTTTAAAATGGTTTTTTTTGCGAGGAAAAAAATCGTAGTAGGTTATTTTTTATACGAGAACATCACCAAAAACTTTTATATTATAGGAAGGAGAAAGACAGTAGTAGAATCATTAGAATCGCTTCTGAAATTGATCAGAAATAGATCATGACTATTTCGCCCAAGTAACGGACATGAAAATGATAGAAATCATCCAAAAAAGCTTGATATATTATAATTAAAATATACTTTTAGATTTTTATAAAGAAGAAAGTAGGAATTTAGAAAGTTTATATATAAATATATAGATGTTTCTTACTTTATATATGGTGTTTACAGTATTCGATACATAGTGTAGCCTATAAATAGTGCGTTTCCAGTGAAGATTTTTTATATATCGTATGTATTTTTTTTATTTTTGTATATGAGAACGAGATATATATGATTAAAATGATAGAAAAAGCTCAAGCTATCATCTAGTCCCCCAAAATGTTATAATCCTTTTTTTTAAATCGATTAATGTGTAGGGCATATCAATATAAAATACTATATAAATATATGATTAAACTTAGGAAAAACTTAGATACCAGAAATATACTTAGTAACGAAAACAAAGAAGATCGCATAATATTATGCTGACAGAAACCAAAAACTATTCTTGGTTTCTGTAAATCAGTCTTCTAGGTCTGAATATGATGAAATTTCATAGAAAAAAAATAGTTCATGACGTTATAACGTTATACTAAATACCTAATATGATCTGTTTTAAGATTGTGATATATCTTTTTTATTTGTGCTTTATTTTTTTAACTTATGAACTCTTGTAAACTCATGAACTGTTTTTTTTCTACTCTGAGGCAAATTTTTAGGTTTTTACATCTTTTAGGGGTTGAAACCACTCAAAATTAGTTAAATAATTTTGTCCTTTATATGTTTTACCCCACCTTCTCCTATTATTGATTAGTTTTTTTGCCTCAAAACCCAGTATTGCCCTATATGTATAATATAGAGCATGGTCTAGATAGATGTGCTTTTTGTTTCTTATTATTATTATTATTATTAATTTTAAGAAAAGATACGCTATTTTTTACTGCTTTGATTTTTTGTTACTTTTTCACCTTTATTTTTTACTTTGTATTTGTTGAATTTCATATTAATATATATATTTTGTTATGACTTGTTTTTTGTTTTTTATTTCTTTTGTTCTTTTCCTTTCTTTGTTTAGCACTTTGTTATTCTGTGTACCTGATATGTATATTATGTATATTGTACTAGATTATTCCTTTAGTGGCTATGGTAATTCATGGTTTTGGATCCAAAGATATTAAAAAAGTTTTACACTAAACAGACAAAAATGTATCTTAAAATACCAACTTAATTTACTTTACTGTAACGAAGGCACCCAAAACAGGTATATGCACCCAAAGTAAACAGTTTGAAAACAGCAACTAGCTTGAAAAAATAAATCTAATATCTATGGATCTTGAAGCTAAAGACTTACTGATATCTTCAACGAAAAAATCAAAATTAAATCTTTAAAACGCTTATCTAGAATCCTGACACATGTCAATAACTCGCCAAAAAAGACATATTGAAAAAACCAAATCAGATATAATGTGGTATTGGTATAAATATTGATATTTTCTTATTATGAAAAGTCGAAAGCATTTTGATATATAATATGTAGAAAGCTCAAATCTTTAGAGAAGTTTTATATTTAAAAAACTGCAATAAATAATACCAGCAGGGCCACCAAAGACCCTGAAGAACTTTAGTACACCCTGGTATATCATATATAAAGTAAAAAAAAGTAAAAACTGTAGAAAAAATAAAAATAAAACGCTTACCATTGGCGAGTGAAGGCATTGTCGTGGAATATTTTCCCTATGGATAGATACTGAGAAGTCTATCGTTGTGATTGAAAAATGCTTTACATTTTACTACTCAGGAGTGACCTAGGTAAATTTAAAATGATCATGAAGTAAGAAAATGCACCCGAACGGTAGTATCCACGTTCTTTTTGGGGGAATTTTTAGGAAAATACTGGTTGGAAAAACATATTCTCGTTCATTTTGGGTTTAAAACAAACTAAAGAATAGTATTTGCGCTATAGAAGCTTTGAAAGATGAAGAAAATACTGTTTCTCGGTCCTGTAACGTACTTTAGCTTTTTTTTTATCAATATTCAGAATGAACTAGAATTTATTTTGACCACCCTGTAACTATGGTGCGGTCTCCCAAAAAAATTATAATGCAATAACTTTGAGACTAATCCGATCAGTGAAAACACCAAACAGAAAATAGTTAAAAACTCAGAAAAATAAATAAAAATACAGAGAGAATCTAACATCTAACATTCAACATAAAGTAAAATACTTAATAACCAAAACTAAAACACTGTTACTGTTACATATTACTCAACACAAGTGTCTATAATAACATTGGAAGATGTAAACAAGTAGGTCAAGAGCTATTTTATACCTACTCTCGGTTTACTTATTTCTCTGAGATTGAAAATAAAAAATACAGTATTTTCTGTATTGGTGTTACCCTGGTTTCGGCATAAAAAATTATATAATTCTTCTGTGTTTGTACGTGGTAGTTTTTAATCCTTTTTAAACGAGTAGCTTTTTTACATTATATTCTTACTAAAACCTTAAGTACTACATGCAGTACTTACGTATAGATTTAGTCAAAAAGTATATGTATTACCCGTTAGGTCATTGTAATCCTGAGATGGATTAAAAGCTGAGTTTTCTCCGTAACAGTATTTCTTTGTTTCAAAACAGTGATTGAATTGCGTCTTTACAAAATCGAATTGATATAAAAATACTTTATATGGTTAGAAGTTATTAGAAAAAGAAATTAACTATTTTAATTATAAGTGTTTTGTAATAAAACCTTTAAAATATAGTTAGTAATTAGATATTCCAAGAGTAATATGGAGATGTAACTTCTTTTAAACTCCTATGTAACTATTATTTCCAAAAAATATCAGTTGAAACTAACTTTTTACTGTTATTTAAAAATAACAGCTTAAAATAACAGGTTTCTTGACAGTCAAAACAACAAAAAGAAACAAGCAAATATTACACAAGTTAAAAATAACAGTTGAAATAACAGTTAAAAATAATTTGATACTGTTATTTCAAAATAACAGCTTAAAATAACAGGTTTCCTGACAGTAAAAACATAAGAAAGAAACAAGTAACTGCTACATAAGTTAAAAATAACTGTTCAAAATCACTTGTTATTGTTATTTTAAAGTAACAGATTCAAATAACAGTTTTCTTAACATTCAAAACTTAAATTAGGATGAAATGAATTCTACATTAGTACAGACACTTCTAATACCTGTAATTTTCTATATATTTATTTAAAAAAAACTGTTATATATAATCTGAGAGCAATGCCATTTTCAAATCCGTTATTTTTTTTTTAACAATTACATTGTTTTGGCAGCGACCAATTGCGATGTAATTGTGAAAAAAACGATGTAATTGTTAAAAAAAATAACGGATTTGAAAATGGCATTGCTCTCAGATTATATATAACAGTTTTTTTTTAAATAAATATATAGAAAATTACAGGTATTAGAATTTTCTATATATTTATTTAAAAAAAACTGTTATATATAATCTGAGAGCAATGCCATTTTCAAATCCGTTATTTTTTTTTTTAACAATTACATTGTTTTTTTCACAATTACATCGCAATTGGTCGCTGCCAATGGACTGTTATTGCCATAACTGTTTTTTTTTTAAACAACTGTTTCGAGTATTGTAGAATTTCATATCATAGAAATAGGAATCTAACGTCAAGAACACTCAATGTTATTTTCATACCTGTTATATGTTCAGGAAGTAAAAACTATTGCAAACTGTTATACCAAAATAACAGTTATAAATGGATAAAAATATCTAAAAAATATAAAGTATTTTTTATAAGTTTTTTCGAGGGATGGCCTTTATTTTTTATAAATAAATAGCGAAACAAAGAAAACAAAATGGAGGAAAGGCACATGTTAGTCGTTACCTGATATATTGTTCACTGACTTACACTCACTACGAAGGCGTTGGTTTATTTCACACCAAGTGTGAACGAAAGAAAAGAATGTGAAGAAATCAGCAATGAAATTGATGAAGTCAGTAACAGAGGCTACAAAATGTACATGATTCTTAAATAATATTAGCTATATACTATTATAGATTATTTTCTATACTCGCTTCGTGTAACTTTGCATTTTTTTATTTCCCCTGTATATAATAATAAAAATGATATAAATATCGACCCTTTCATCTATATTTAGAAAAAAATAAATAAAAACAAAATGTCGTTTATATAAAATCGGTGTTTCGTAATTAATTACAATTTTTAGATAGATAATTAGAAGCAAAAGAGGAAAAATAAGGTTACGGTTAAAATATATGGCGCCAAATTCGAATTTTATGAAACTAAAAAATATTTTTTAATGAACAGTTGTAATTGAACTATTTATGGCTGTGCTGTATTTTGAATCTTTTAGTTATAATTCATAAATTTTGGAAGAAAAAAGAGAAACAAAGAAATAAGTAAATATAGAGTTCTATCCGAGAGTATTTTGAATTCTATCTATGTTTACTGATTTCAATGAGTTTTATATTTTTTAGCTTTTTACTAATTTTCTTACTAATAACTATTAAATAGAAAAATAGAAAATGTTACAAAAGTAATAAGTTAAAAAAAAATACAGCGTAAAAAATATTTTTTTATATGTAAAAAAAAGGGTTTTTACATATAAAAACAGTTTTTACGTGTAAGAAATAGTTTTAAATACGTAAAAAATAGTTTTTTAGGTGTAACAAATATTTCTGATAAACACGTGGGCTGTTGAACACTACGTATTTCTATGCCGTTATCACTTTTTGTTACCACTAGCACGTGTGTCACTAGTGTTGCACAAGAGTCTTGAAAAAGTCTTGCAAGACCAAGACTCTTGTAAGAAATTCAAGACAAGACTTTAATATGCAAGAAATTTCAAGAGTCTTGCAAGATTTCTTGAATTCAAGATACTTTCATTTTTCATTTCAAGTCGAGGCTACAAACCGTATATTGGTAATTGGTATTATACACAAAATTATATTGGCATAATGGTATTATAAAAAAAAACGGTAGTTGAAACTAATGGTGGATTCGTGGAACACGCTATTTGGTACTACTTTTCATGCACGAAATTGCTCCGCGAACAAAAAGTAGTATCAAATAGCGCAAATAGTACACTCTAGCATGACCTTTCCGTACACCCTGTGTTCAAACTTTTCCAACCAATCTTCCATAATAAAAAAATGAAATAAATATACCATAAAAAATAAAAGTAACAAATCCTGTTTCGTCAAACGGGCGAGTTGACGTAGTTCGTTTGTGGTGTGTTAAGATTTTTTTTTGCTAAAATTAGCATCGTTGTTGTTCATTTTTCTGTACTACATTTTGTATACGACACTTTCTATGAAATAAAATATAGAAATATTATTAAAATTAAGTAAAATTTTTCAAGATAAGAAATTTCAAGAGTCTTGCTAGACAAGACAAGACTTTGCCATTCAAGAAATCTGCAAGACAAGACTTTGAAAATTTCTTGTCTTGAATTGTTGGAGACAAGAAATTGATTTTGTGCAACACTATGTGTCACGGCCTTGAAATTTTACTCCCAGCGCATAAAGAAGTTTTTCACTTTAAAAATCTTTTAAAATTCAGTTCAAAAAATTCGAATTTAAAGTTTGAGAAAAAATGTCTCAGAAATAATCTTATTAGAAGAGTGGTTACAACTGTTTTATAGATAAAATAATACAAAATGGTTGTGTTCAGACGTAGATTGAAAATGTAAAGGAAAAAAGCAACGTTGTAAAATTGTTGTAACCATTCTCTGTACAGGTTGTCCCAAATTCGAGAAGCTCAAAAACGAAACGTCTCTTTGGAAATCTGTTAACACCGTCTTGTATAAGAAAAAAGTACCTAGCAATAAGAATGTAAAACCTATTTTGTTTTATCTATTCAAATAGAATCATAAAAATTAAAAATATAATCAAGAATATTCGTTTTTTTTTTCAAAAATCTTAGAAAATAAACTGATTTTTTAAACTTCTAAGGTGATCAGCATC